ATGGTTTGGTCCCTTTGAAGAGCTTTTCAAATATGTTTGGCTAGAATCCTCAACTTAATGAGTGTGTAAGAAGTCATCTTGTGATTGGGCTGGGGAATGAGAGCCAGCTTGGAAGGGTCCCTTCTCACTCTCCTCACGTACTTTCCATTAAAGTGATTCACCGTTGTAATGCTAGCTGTGTCTGTACCACAAGTACACACATCCAGAGTTTACTTGTTTGGGTGAAATTAAAACATTGCTCTTTCAAAACTGCTTTGGATATCTCGTCCTTGACTGAAGTACTGCTGTTGTTTTTTTCCAGATAATTTAGACTTTATTTGCTGTTAATCTTTGTAACTTGGATTGTAGCATGACTAGAATAGGTGGTCAATCATATAGGCAGGCTTTAGAAGTGTGGTGTAAATAACATTTCTCAAACAATTTTGGAAATGTATATGTTGAGCTAGCGAGGTAAACTTGTGAAATAATCATTTTTTAAAATTCTGTTTCCATTATTGTGGTGCTCCTCCTTCCTTTCCTCTCCCCAATACATTTAGTGGCTGCAATGCATGTGGCTGCCTAGAACCAACCATGAATGGTTTGTATTTTTTTGGTATCTTTTCCTTCTCTTTCCATTCTTTCCCATTTTTCTGTTTCTCTCCTATGTCCTGTTTAATCAGGGACTTGATCTTGTCAAGGTAATAGTAGGTGAAAATGCATTAATTAGGGGGCCTAACCAGTGCTAAACACTTAAAAATGTTTTGTTGTTGTTGTTTTAATTCAGGGCAGATGCACCGGTCTCTGCAAGGCTCTTGGGCAGCAAATCTAATAACAGAGATGTCAGACATCAGGGATTGCTTAGATTGGCATCCAATAAAGCAGTGGTCTCTAAACTCTTTAATCACTCACCTCTCTCAATAAACCATTTTTGAGTATGGACCCTTCAGTATGTGCATATTTATGTATTTTAAAATTATACACATACACTTCTTTTACTTATAATTATGAATATTGTAAAATATTCACCAAAAATGGACTTGAAAAAGGAAGGAGAATGATTTGAAAGGGGGTAAGAGCTGAGGAAGGAGAACAGTTCCAAGGCGACTGCGGTAGTCAGGTAAGAGATGATGTAGGCCTGGACTGGGGAATGGGTGTGTGAGGAGAGAGAAGAGATTCGTAGGTAGAAAGTTGAGGATGACCCCAAAGTTGTGAACCTAGGTGACCAGGTTCCAATAAGAGTTGGAGAGTTCTTGATGCTTAGTGGGATGAGCAGAACCACGAGAACGTTGTACACAGTAACAGCCACATTGTGCTGACTTTGACAGACTAAGCTCTTCTCAGCAATGCAAGGAACTAAGAGACTCCAAAAGATGCAGGATAGAGAGTGCTGTCCACGTCCAGAGAAAGAACTGCGGAGCCTGACTGCAGATAGAAGCAGACTATTTGCTCTCCTTTTCTGTTATGTTTTGTTTTGTTTTGTTTTTTCTATCTTGTGGTTCTTCCCATTAGTTCTAATTCTATGCTTAATGTGAATGTGTAAATACAGCCTATATCAGATTGCACTCCATCTTGGGGAGGGGGGAGGAGAGGAAGGGGGCAAGAAAATTTAAAACTCAAAATCTTATAGAAGTGAATGTTGAAAACTAAAAATCAATTAATTAATTAAGAATTGGAGAGTTTTGAAGAGGGATGGGTTTGGAAGAAAAGATCATGTAGTGAGTTTTGTGATCTGTTACAACCCATCCAGGCCTGCTCCTCTCTTGTGCCAACTTTGTTCCATTTGAAATGAAAAAGAGGAAGGCAGGCTTCTTTCTTACTGGTCACTACCCCTCAAAGGGGCTGGCATGAAGGGATCTGAGAGATGGGGACTGTGCTTGCTTAGAGGGACCAGGTTCTTACCAGTGGTACCTATATGTACCTATTTGCTAGGGGAGCAGATAGGTTCTAACTGCCTTGAGGGACCTGTATTTGGTTCAGAATGGGGAATTTGGTGGCTTGCACAACTGTGAGAGAGGGTGGAAGATGGGAGAGTCTTGGGGGATAAGGGTAGGTATGGTTGTATTGAGGATAAGATCCATGATTGTCCACTTTTCTCATTCCTAACAATAACTGCTGACCAAACATTACCAACTCTCAGATAGGCACAGGAGCCCTGGGAGTGGAAATACCTCCCAGACCACTGGGCTTCTAGCCCAGCCCTCCCAGCAGTCACCCAGGGAAGCAACTCTGGTGGAGAAGAGACCTCCACCAACTGAAACACCTGGGGCAGACAGGCTGGCCTAGCTCAAGCAACAAGACTACCGTGAGAGAGAAACAGGAGGCAGCATGTGCCAGGCAAGTCAGACCCCCACCACCACCTTGACCGCCATCTTCCCACAGATCCACATGGAGACCACAAGGACCTGGAACCCAAGAGCCTTGGAAATAGCAGCACTTCCAGCCCAGTGCACACAGGTGTCACCCTGGGGTGTAACCCCTGTAAGGATGCTGCCTGGCCACTGCTCCTAAGGGGGCTGCAGCCCCAGCTACTGAAGACCCAGAAAACAAAGGACTTACCACCAACGTCCTTGGCACTGTCAGGTGGTTCAGAATCAGAAACTGATAATCACTGTATCAGTGGAAATGACATGAAAAAGACGCATTAATATCTGCTTTGCCTTTGCGCCCTAAGGACCTGGAGACTTCTAGCTGACTTGCAGCTGCCATGTGTGTTGTCTCCTCCGTTAGAATGTAACTTCTTGAAGGCAGGGTCTGTCTTACTTTTTGTATCTGCAGCACTTAGCATAGTGCTTTGCGCGTAAATGTTTTATTCATTCATCTGGGGCGGGGGCAGTATGTGACTCATCTTCCCATACTCCAGATAAGCTGATCACATCACCTCCATACCCCTTCTGATTGGACTATGGCCCTGGAAAGCCCTTGGGCTGCCACTCTGGAGACTACAGCCTTAAACCACCTTATGTAGGGAGCACCCATTTGATCCATATGGAAATCCTCTTCACACACACTGCGCCCCTCAGTCACCCCCAGTTTTCATGAAATTGCCACTGCAATACTATTGTAATGGGGCTTATATCGAGGAATAAACTCTTCTCCCTGTATATATCCTTTGTTGATAAGTTTAGAAACTGTAGATCTGTGAATTCAGTTCCCTTCCATGTCCAATTCTGCAACATAATGATCAAGAAAATTGGGTAGACTTTTCTTTCTGTTGAAGAAACCATTTATCCACAGCATGACTTAGGCTAATTGAATGCTAATACTCCAGCCAAAATTAGCCATCATTGAGAACAAAGTTTTAAAAGTTTGCTTGAGCGTTTACAATAGAACATTACAAAAGGCCATTTGAATCTATAATGAGGCATATGAGGACATTGATGTCAGATGCAGGAAGTCTAGCAAAAAGATAAAAGCAATATTAATAGGAACAAATTAGGCTTCAAGTTTGCCTTCAACATTCTTGTGTATTAAAGGCATCTAAACATGACTGTATGGTAACCTTTTTCCCATGCAACAGAACTGTCAGGTCAAACTGAATCTGCTTTAGTAAGTGAGCTTTTTATTGGTGCAGTGGAAGCCTAAACAATATGACCTCTTGACAGTAATACTTTGTCTTGGTCTTTGGCATGTAATAAATGCTGTTAAAGACAAAAATGATGGTTCATTTGATACATTGATTCATCCATGGCACTGCTGTTCAGAATAGTTATGGAAATTAAATCATCTGACTTATTGGAATTGGGAAGAAGTAAAACTTGCTGTATAACACAAAAATAGTTTGGAAAGGTATTAAAATAAATTTCACCAGGAAAAAAAATACATGTTGCTAAGGAACTAACCATTCTGCTTTGTTGTGATGGTCTAGGACCGGGGGCAAGGAAAGGATATCAGATACTTATCTCTCAGGAAGAAATTAAAATAACTTATTTCTTTGTTTTTAATAACTTATAATAGGAGCAGATTATTTTTATTTTTATGTAGCTTTTAAAAATTCATATTGAGTTATGTCATGGTTTCATAGTATAATCAATTTAATTTAATTGCATAATAGACCTCAACACTTGAACAAGATTGTTCTTTTGCCATATGATTATATTTCAGATATGATTAAATACACTGTACTGCTGATGTCTATGGATGACCATGATGTTTCTGGATCACATGCCTAGGAAATACTTGCAGACTAGCACTGAGAATACAGTTACTCAGTAGAGAATAGTTAAGGAACTCTCCACTGAACTGTCAGGAAAAGTTAGATGAGACTTTGACAACCTACTGCTCTGTCTGTGGGAAAACATTCATTACGTGAGCTTAAAATGGTGTGTGAGTGAGCATGTTTTCGTATGGGGTAGTGGATCAGATATTAGACTTGGAGTGAGATGTACCTCAGGGCTTCAAATTCTACCTCTGGTATTTGGTAGTTAGGTGACTATGAGCAGATTGCTTACTCACTCTGAGCCTCAGTTTGCTTCTCTGATGGATGGGAAGAATAGCTGCCTCCTAGTGGTTCCGCCCTCACAGGCTTGTTGATGAAATACTCAGCAAACTTTAAAGCATCAATGTCAGTTATTATCTCTTATGTGTAGCTTATTTTTTATTCTTAAATAGGGTGGGGAATCTGTGGCTTTGGAGCCACATGTGGCCCGCTAGGTCCTCAAATGCGGCCCTTTGACTGAATCCAAAGGCCATATGTGGCCTTGAGGACACCGCTTCCCCACTCTTGTTCTTAAGTGTTCAGTGCTTTGCCTTACTGATACTACAAATAAAATCGATAGATAAAACATTAACTGGTTGAAGTGGAGTTTATGAAGCCTAGAATGATTAAAAATCAAAAGGATAAGCCACATGGAGGGATTCTCCTTTAACTTTGAGGGGAAAAAATGATTTGAACGGTGGTCCTCCATCTGATTTTCCTTTAGAGAAGATCCTTTGTTGATATTCACTAACATAGACCTTGTTGCAGTAATTCAATATAGCCTCACAGCTTTAGACGAAAGTAACATGTATTTCCATCTCAACAGATTTCGGTTTTGGAAATTTCTTTAAGAGTGGTGAACCACTGGCTACATGGTGTGGCAGCCCTCCTTATGCAGCCCCAGAAGTCTTTGAAGGACAGCAGTATGAAGGACCACAACTGGATATTTGGGTATTTTCATTCTTTCTATATTAAATATATCTTGTGGGCATCCCCTTACACTCTGTCCTGTGCCCTTTCCTCTCTCTACATTCTCTCCTGATGACCTCATCTGCTTCCATGGATTTATTGTCATTCCTATAGAGATGACTCCCAGATTTATATATGCAACCCCAGTCTCTCCAGTTACATATCGTACATTTCAAATTGGATGTCCTGTACACATCTCAAACTTAATATGTCCAAAAAAGAACTTACTTTTCTCCACAAACCCACTTGTCTTGCAAACTTCCCTATTTCTCTTGAAGATACTAACATACCTCTATTCTCCCAAGGCTCATGACCTAAGTATTATTCTTGACTACTTACTGTATCTCATCACAGATATGAATGAAAGATTAAAAAAGGACTCTGTGTGCCAGGCACTATACTAAATGCCAGAGGTACAGAGTAAAGCAGAAACAGTCCCTGCCACTAAGGAGCATACATTCTTATGAGGTAGACAGCAATCAGTAGTGACGTGTGAGATGCGTACTTTCTACCTTTGCGTCTCCTGCATCACACCCCTTCTTTCTGCTGCCCCAGCAGCCACTCACCTGTCACCAAGACTATTCTCCCAGCCTCCTAATTGGTCTCCTGCCTCAAGTCTCTCCCCATTTCATTCTAGCTATCATATTTCTGCCAAAGTGATTTTCCTTAAGCGCTGATCTGATTATGTCACCTTCATTACTCTTTCAACTCCAATGCCCCCTCTATTGCCATTGGCATCAAATATAGCTCCATTTGTTCGGCTTTTAAAACCCTTCACAACCTGACCCTAACCTCTTTCTACAGACCAGTCCCTCTCCCCAGCCAGACTGTCCTTTTCTCTGTTCGTCATATGCAATACTCCATCTCCTATTTCTGGGCCTCCCTCTGCCTTCTCTTACAAAACCTTACTCTTCATCCATTGTGACCTCCAATCCTTTGACCCCTCAATTCTCTCCCAAGCCATCTCCCCTGCTCTAGCCACCGTCTCCTCTTTTAGCCATCTTGACTTCTTGCTGAGCCAATTCAACTCTATACTGTCTTCCTCTCTTGAATCCCTAGTCCCCTTATCATATCCCCGATTACACCCAGCCAAGCCTCAGCCTTGGATCCTTCCCACCATTCACCGTCTCTGTTTCTACACCCATGATCCTGAATTAAAATGGAGAAAATCACACAACTGTTCTGACGGGATCCACTACAAATTTATGTTGACACAACCTCATCTCAGCCCTCACTGCTGCTGGAAAATTACTATACTTCTCTTATCAACTCACTCTCCCACTCTCCTGAGCAGGTCTTCCAAACTTTTTCATCCCTCCTTAAGCCCCCATGGTTCCCCTTTCCCCACCCCCAGCTGAGAACCTCACCTCATAATTTACAGAAAAAAATGAAGCCATTCACAATGACCTCCCTCTTCCTCAGTTACTCAGGTGCCTTCTGCCCCTCTTTCTTCCACTCCTGTCTCACATGATGAAATGGCCTTACTCCTTACCCTCTACTTTTTCAAGCAAATCTTTCTCTTCCATTCTGTCTCCTCCAACAGATTGCCCTCTCTGCCATCCCCTGCCTATTACTTATTTTCAGTCTCTCTGCTGGCTCATTTCCTATTGCCTACAAACATGCCCATTCCCCCCCCCCATTCTGAACAAATCCTCACTTTATTCTTCCATCCCTCATATCGTCCCCTATCTCTTCTATCCTTTGTACCTAAACTCCTCAAAAAGGCTGCCTATAATGGGTGCCTCTGCCTTCTCTCCTCTCACTCTTAACCCCTCCTCTAATCCAGCTTCTGACCTCATCATTCCCCTGAAACTGCTCTCTCCCAGGTTACTAATGGTCTCTTAGTTGCCAAATCCAGTGGCCTTTTTCTTAGTCCTCATTCTCCTCAACCTCTCTGCAGCTTTGGACTGTGTCGATCACTCTCTGCTCTTTGATACTCTCTTCTCTCTAGGTTTTTGGGACACCACTCTCTCCTGGTTCTCCTCCTGCCTATCTGACTGCTCCTTCCCTGTTTCTTTCCCTGGATCCTTCTCCAGAGCACACCCTCTAACTGTAGGTGTCTCTGAGGGTTCTGTTCTGGGCCTTCTTCTCTTCTCCCCCTACACTACTTCACTTGGTGATCTCATCAGCTCCCATGGATTTTATTTTCATCTCTATGCTAATGATTCACAAATCTACCCATCCTGCCCTAAGCTCTCTGCTGACCTCTAATCTCAAATCTCCAACTGCCTTTCAGACATCTCAAAATGGATGTCCAATAGACATCTTAAACTCAATATATACAAAATGGAACTCATTATCTTTCCCAAAGAAACTCCCCCCCACCCCTTCCCATTTTCCCTATTGCTATAGCAGACAACACCATTCTCCCTGTCTCTCAGACTCACAGCCTAGGAATCATCTAGGATTCTTTATTGTCTCTCACCTCCTGTATCTAATCTGTTGCCAGGGCCTATTGATTTCGCCTTTGTAACATCTCTCGTATACACCCCCTTGTCTCTTCTCATACTGCAGCCACACTAGTGCAGGCCTTCATCACCTCACACGTGGACTATTGCAATAGCCTGATAGTATATCTGCCTGCCTCAAGTCTCTCCCCCACTCCAGTCTATTCTCTATTCAGGCCACTAAAGTGATTTTCCTAAAGCACCTGTGTGACCATAGTGTCCCTTCCCTCCCCTCCCCCAACATACACGCTCTATACACTCCAGTGGCTTTCTATTTCCTCTATGGTCAAATACAAAATACTCTGTTTGACATTCAAAGCTCTTTATAACCCAACCCCCTCCTACCTTTCCAGTCTTCTTACACCTTACTTCCAAACACATAATCTTCAATTCAGTAACATTGACCTGCTTGCTGTTCCACAAACAAGACACTCTGTCTGTCAGCTCTGGGCGGTTTTCTCTGTCTGTCCCCCAGGCCTGGAATGCTCTCCCTCCTCCACTTTTACTACTGACTTCCTTTAAGTCCCAACTAAAATTCCACCTCTTATAGGAAGCCTTTCTTAGCTCCTCTTAATTCCAGTGCTTTCCCTATGTTAATTATTTCTTATTTATCCTGTATACAGCTTGCTTTGTGTACATCTGCTGCATTGTATTGTAAGCTCTTTAAAGCCAGGGACTGTCCACAGTGTCTAGCACCCAAGTAGTTACTTAATATCTACTTATTGATTAACTGCTTAGAATATATTCCCTCCTCACCTGTACCTTATAGAATAATGCTCTTCCTTCAAGATGAAGCTCAAGCACTACCTTTTCCTCAGAGTTTCACCTGATTTCTTCCAGTTGCTAAAGCTCTCCCTCCCTACCTTCTGTTTCACCGTTTTGTATTGATTTTTATTTATTCTGTGTATTGTTGTTGTAGATAGACTTATCTCCCCTTAGAATTTAAATGTTTTGTAAATAGGGTTTTTTTTTTCATTTATTGTATTTATATCCTTAGTACCTTCTAGTGCCTAATAGATATTGATTGGTAGATTAATAATACTCAGCCCCTTTGGCCCATCCCCAAGGTTCCTTGCACTTAGGCAGTAGATATTGTTGGGGGGAGTTTGGGTTTTTTTCCTGTCCATTGGACTCTGTGTGCTAAGAGCTCATAGAACAGGATACCCAGGAAAAGGGATTCTGGTATCAAATGTGTAACCTTCCCTAGATGTGCAGTAACTAAAATTCAACATTCATCTAAATGACCCACCTCTTGATAGTGTAAGGAGGAAAAAACTCAGGGTTTTAGATTTCTTTCAGTTCTGTGAGTCTCCATTTCTGAAACATTCCAACAGGAATTTTGGTTTCTTCAATTAATGAAACTTTAATAGTAACTGAAGATACTTCACAAAGTAAATTGCATTTGAAATATTAGGTAGTACAGTGGGTACATTATTATTTTGTATCTTAGAGCATGGGAGTAGTTCTTTACGTCCTTGTCTGTGGAGCTCTGCCTTTTGATGGCCCAACTCTCCCTATCCTGAGGCAAAGAGTTCTGGAAGGAAGATTCCGGATTCCTTATTTCATGTCAGAAGGTAAGCTATTTGTCTTGCAGATTGTGCTTTACAGATTTTAAGCTGTGAATGAAGTGCCTTCCTAAAAGTCTCTATGTTTTCCAAAAGTTATAGGTAGCAAAAAAAAAAAAAAAGTGACTGAGTCATTTCAGAAGCTATGGAAATGAGAAAAAAAAATCCTCTGTGTAGGTGAGACAAAGAGTTCCAGCCTTACTTGTGACTGAAAACAGAAACAGTTTAATAGATTAAAAGCAGCAAGTCTTTTCAGTCCCATTCACCCTGAGTCTATAAATATCTCAAGTTTATTTTAGACAGCAAAACATGTTGAAGATACAGATTGACAACCTTTTATTCTGAATAGAAAATGGATTTTCCTTTTTCCTTTGGCAGGAAGTCACAAACTAATAACAACTAATTGGCAGAGTTATTTAATTGAATTGATAACTTCCTAGTCCCTTCCAGCCTCTTTTAGATTGTTATATAGGAGGAAGTTATTTATTTCCCTTCTTTGACTAAATTTTAGATTGTCGTCCTTGCTGTTGTTTCCATCTCTGTGAACCCAAGTATCTTACAGAATTACTAATCTTGATTCTGTTAATAAGTAAAGCTGGCCGGCAGTTTTTCTTGAATTTACTATTAATTACACATCTTTAAGTGAAGAAGCCATTCAGAGAAATCTTTGTAAATGAGTGTAAAATCTACCTGGAGCCTATGCAATGACTAAATGACACATGTATGATAGATAGCCTAATCATGCTTTGACTTTCTTACTTAAAAATACCTAGTGTAATTTCTAAACTATGTCTAACATTGATATTATCAAAGAAGCCCATTCTCTGAGAAGGATACTATGGAATCCATCAGAAATCTGTGCATTTACTTACTAAAAAGGCTAAATAGAAGTTTTTCCTATTTATCAGTTGTTACTTTCCTTACTTAAACTCCTTAAGAGACATAAATTAGACTTGGAAGCTACTTAGGAATAAGCTGTTAATTCCGTGCTTCAAAAGTAAAGTTTGGTTTTTGTTTTTAGGAGAAAACTAAGTTTGTAACCAGAGATTTGTTTTCTGTTAGTGAAGAATTTCATTTAACACAAAAATGGGGCAGACACAACTGTGACTATTGTTTTTAACTCTCCACAAATTGCCAAAATACATTTCAGCAGCATTCACTTACATGTGGACCTATATGTCGAATAATGCAAAGATAGTCTTATTTGCCAGGTGCTTTATTTGACTATTTCTTTTTAACTTTTTACTTTCCCTAGAGTGTGAGCATCTTATCCGAAGGATGTTGGTCTTAGATCCGTCTAAGAGGCTGACAATAGCCCAAATAAAAGAGCACAAGTGGATGCTGGTAGAAGTTCCTGTACACAGACCTGTTCTTTATCCACAAGAGCAGGAAAATGAGCCATCTCTTGGGGAGTATAATGAGCAGGTCCTGCGGCTAATGCATAGCCTTGGAATAGATCAACAGAAAACCATGGAGGTAAAGGAGCCAAAGCTATTTTCTGATTTGATTATACTTGGCATCTCTAAACATAATGTGATAGATGCCTGGTGAGTATAAGTAAAATAGCACAAGAAACAGCGTAAAAGGCATTGTCCTCAAGTAAGTAGATTGGAAGAGAAGGCAGGTCAGCCATCTAAAGAGATCGATAGATAATAGGCAAGATAGCCAGAGTGCTGCATGGTACACAAGGAATAGGACAATCCAGAGGATGACGTCCAGTCTGTTGGCCACATCAGCTGCAGAAAGCTTGGGTGAGAGTGGTGGAGAAACCTGCGGAGGGGCTGTGATCAGCACTAACGTCATAAAGTAGTGAAGTGATTATGCCTTTGCACAGTGCCTAGCACATAGTAGGTACTCAAAAATGCTTATTTCCCTTCCTTCCCCCCCCCGCCCCCAGTCAGGACTGTCACCAGAATAAGTATTACTTAGTCTTCCCTTCAGGTTATATCAGTTTCCTTCTATCTGTTTACTTATATTATGTTCATTGTATCAGTCCCTTTCCTTGTACTTTCTACCTAAAAGTGAGAAGAGCTGCTAGAGGTAAAGACTTATACTTTACCACTCAGAAAAGAAAAAGATGAAAATTGGCAAGTGAATCATGGGAAGATAATTCCTAGAAGTTGGATAAAGTTATGTCTGTGTGTAAAAAGTGGTTGAAAAATGGATGGGAAATGGGATGGGGGGCCTTAGGCAAGAAAAGGGCAAAAAAAGCAAAAAAGAGAAATGAGAGGGAAAATAGAGGAGACAAGTGAACAAGAAACAAAAGGTTTCATTTGATTAGGAAGTTTTAGAAATCATAGAACTGAGAATTCATTAAAATGCTTACAGGTTATTTTGTTCCATCCAGAAAAGATACCATTTTGTTAGGCTACATGCATGCAGAAGACTTTTGACAACAATTAGTGAACCAGGCTTAAGGTATTTTTTGGAAGGTGAGAACAAGAAGGAGCTGAAAAATACACCTTTGGCTATTTTGGAGATGAAGACCCTCCCAGCTTTTCTTTCTCCACTGGAGCCCAGGGAAAAACTGTACTGTGGCTTTCTCATTTTCCCAGATGTCTTTCTTTGCCTATTCCTATAAGGCATCCAGAGTTGTGGCTTGAGGGGGGTGGAGGTCCTACAAGCTGGCTCTGGCTCTGTACTAAAAGCTCAACCCAGCAGTGACATTTCCCTGTCCGATGAAGCCATGAGCTAAAGGAGCAGTCAGTCTCTCTACTCCATTTGGGATGGAAAAATGGGAGGGCCAAGAAGTAAAAAACTGGGAGGGAGCTCTGTTTTCAAAGTATCAAAATGGTAGGACTACAAAAGCAAGAGGAAAAAATTATCTAAGAACACAAAGAGTATCGCTTTAATCTAGTTCCTACATCTTTTCCTCAAACCAAATAAATTCCAGAATGTTTTCCCAAAACTCCCATGATTCTTGATCTAGAATTGTTGAGTGGTTTGGGCCTATGTTAAGCTACAAAATTAGTACTGCCCAGGTCAAATTGCTGACTGGCCTGATAGGCATGAAGGTTGCAGCTGTAAAATGATTGAGACAAGGTTCCTTCATAAGGCTGAGACCTCATGCCCTTTTGCATGAAGAGTAGCAAGTTACCACTGATTGCACTTCACTTAAAGGAGCTAGTCAAATGTAGGGAATTGCTGTTTTCTCATTTGTACCCTGGATGCTTGGACTTCACTTTGAGGCATAATTCACTTTGTCCCCATTTCCAGAAGTACATGATTTTCCCTGATTCTTGAGGAAAATGTAGAAGCATGAACTTGATTAGTTATGGCATCTGGCCTTCAGATATTTGTTTTCTCCTTTTCAGTCTTTGCAGAACAAGAGTTATAACCACTTTGCTGCTATCTATTACTTATTGGTGGAAAGGCTGAAATCTCACCGAAGCAGCTTCCCTGTGGAGCAGAGAGTTGATGCCCGCCAGCGTCGGCCGAGCACTGTTGCTGAACAGACAGTTGCCAAGGTAACTCCTCATCCAGCTGGTGGTCTTGTCTGCTACAAGTGTAGTTATTTTGTACATGTTTTTTCATCAGCTAAGAAGGGGTTGAGATTTTACTACTTACATTTATATTATTGACTACAATACCTTTATATAGTTCCCTTGATTAGTATCTCAGAAGTTTCTCTTCCTTTCCCTTTTCTGGAAGGATTAATTGACTTCATAAATCCAAAAGGCTTCTTTTTTTCCCCTTTTAGGGATTTGTAATTTTTTGGCTTTTTTAATTGTTGTTGTTCACAATTGACCGAATCAGGAGCATGGTCTAGCTGTGGAGCACTGGATTTCGAGTGAAATCTGCGTTCTTTTCCCAGACCTGTCACTTACTGCATATGGGGCTGGCATCACTGGCCCTGCCTTACAGTGAGAAAAGGGCGTTGGTCACTGTAAAGTACCACATAAATTTGAGCTCTTGTTACATTTGGTATCTGGTTCTTCATTTCTCTGTCTCCTGATCATAATAATACATTACATTTGTGTAGCATTTTACAGTTTACAAACCACTTCAACATATATTATCTCCTTTGATCCTCACCACAACCCTGTGAGGTAAACAGTACTGGAATTAGATGTAGTAACTGAGATTCAGAAATTAAATGACACTTTGCCAAGGTCCCACAGACAAATAGTAGTAGAGCTGAGACTAGGACACACACCTTCTAATTTTCTTATCCAATACTCCTTCCATTTTGCCACCTTGCCTCTTGTTTTAATATCTTATATTTATGTACCCTTTTAGAGTCTTCAAGGTGATTTCTCACATCATTTCATTTGGACTCATAATAGCCCTACGAGTCAGGGAAGATACATATGCCCATTATAGGGGAAAGGTATGCTAAGGTTCAAAGAGAGTGACTTGCCCAGGGTACTGTGCTGTCTCTCTAAGCACCATGCCTGTAGTTTTGTATGTGTCTCATTCATTGGTCCTTACACAATATATAGAAAGAAATGAATATTCCAGTACTCAGATCCACGATCTCATCAATGTAGATATTCCTTCCAGGGATGGTAAGCACAGGTCATCCATGCCTACTCTTCTGAGACTCCCAGGTTTCTCTGAAACCATCCCTTTTGTCATTTCTTATAATGCAGTAATATTTCAACTCATCCATATACCATATTTGTTCAGCCATTTCCAAATTGTTGGACACCCTCTTTTGTTTCTAGTACTTTGCTGCAACAAAAAGAGTTAGTATGAAATATTTGTGTCCATATATGTCCTTCTTCTCTCTCTTTAGGACACATGCCTAGTGGTGTTATCATTTTTTTGGATAGTTCCAGATTGCTTTCCACAATGGATAGACCAATTAATAGCTTCACCAACAGTACCTTAATGTGTATGTTTTCCCACAGTCCCTCCAACATTTATCTGAAGCGGCACCTCACTTGTTTTGATTTGCACTATGCTAGTTTTTAGTAATTTAGACCATTTTTTCATAAGGCTATTGATCACTTGAGTTTCTTCCCTTGACAATTGATTGTTCATGTCCTAAAACCATTTATCAATTAGGGAATGAGGACCATCTTTTCTTTAGAGAGAGGTTTTCATATATTGCATATTTCACTTTTGTGTTCTATACTACCATATAAAATACTAGTGTATTCTCACCTTTTGCATCCGTCATCATGATGCCATGATACTTGTATGATAACCATTTCAAGGAACCAAATATAATGTTGCCTTTTTTTAAATTTCATTATTCCCAAACCTTGGAAAACACTTTAGAGTTTAACTGAGACTCATTAGGAATTCCTTGGAATTTAAATAATTAAGGTGTATCTATTAGAAATTTAAGGCCTAGTGCCCCAAAACAAATTCTGGAACACCAAGTCCAGCAAAAAGACAGGGTGAAACAAGATTTTAGCCCAAGAAACTTGGAAGATTGGCAAGAAAGGTCTGTCTCACTTGGGTAAAAGGGGAGCACAGTGCAAGCCAGGAAGGATCCCAACAAGCCAACAGCAAGCCCCACCTCAGCAAATCAGCAAGAAATCCTGAGCCCCAGTGTGGTGGAGCAGGCAAATGCCAACACCAAAACCTCCTACGTGCCTCAGCATTGCTAGAGGAATGGTCAGACTCCAGCTCCAAGAACATCCACGTGCTTCAGCATAGCCCTGGGCAAACAGGCAACCTATGGGGGCCAGAACACCAGGAGCTTCAGTGTAGCCCTGGGGAAATTGAGGAACAACTCACTGGCCTCAGCACACACCAGACACCAGCACTAGGACCCTGGCTCAGCATCAGGTAAGCTGCCAGACCCCTACAGCCTCCAGCAGCACCAAGCACCTACCCCACCCCCTCAGCACAGCACCAGACACGAGGGGCCTCCAAGGGCCTCAGGGCAACATCAGTGCAGCACCAGGTAAACAGCCAGGCCTGTAGTCCCTAGAATAAGAAGCCTGAGACAGTGCCCCTTCCACCCCTGGAGCAGAGCTCAAATTTTTAAAAAGGGAAAAGACCAAAAAAGATGAGCAAAAAAACAACAAAAAAGGAATCTGACCATAGAAAGATATGGTGACAGGGAAGATCAAGACACAAAATCAGAAGAGGACAGTAATGTCAAAACACCTATGGGCAAAATCCCAAAGAAAAATGGGAAATAGTCTCAAGCCCAGAAAGAACTCATAAAAGTGCTGCAAAAGTAGCTTAAAATTCATATAGAGAGGTAGAAGGAAAATTGGGGGAAAAAATGAGAGTGATGCAAGAGAATTATGAAAAAAGAGTCAACAGCCTGGAAAAAGAAAACAGCTGCTTAAAAATTAAAATTGGCCAAATGGAAAAGGAAGTATAAAAGCTAACTGAAGACAACAACTCCTTAAAAGTTAGAATTGGGCAAGTGGAAGCTAATGACTCTATGAGACATCAAGAATCTATCAAACAAATTCAAAAGAAGGAAAAAATAAAAGAAAATGTAAAATACCTCATTGGAAAATCAACTGACCTGGAAAATAGATCCAGGAGAGACAATGTTAGAATCATTGGACTACCTGAAAGTCATAATCAAAAGGAGGATCTGGACAGCATCTTTCAAGAAATTATCAAGGAAAATTGCCCTGATATCCTGGAACCAGAGGGCAAAAAGAGAATCCACTGATCACCTCAGGAAAGAGATCCCAAAACAAAAACTCCAAGGAACATTATAGCCACATTTTAGAACTATCAGTTTAAGGAAAAAAATCCTGCAAGTGACCAGAAAGAAACAATTCAAATATTGGGGAGCCACAATCAGGATTGCGCAGGACTTAGCAGCTGTAACATGAAAGGATTGGAGGTCATGGAACATGTTATGTGGAAGGCAAAGGAGCTAGGACTACAACCAAGAATCACCTAGCTGGCAAAATTAAATATAATACTTCAAGGGGGAAAAAATGGTCGTTCAATGAAATAGAAGGATTTCAAGCTTTCAAAAAGAGAAGATCACAGTTGAACAAAAAAATCTGATTTCCAGTATCAAGACCCAGGAGAAGCCAAAAAAGGGAAAAGAAAACATAAGGGATTCATTAGAGCTTAACTGTTTACATCCCTACATGGGAAAATGATACTTGTAATTCTTAAAAATTGAACCACTAATAGTACAACTAGAAAGAATGTACATAGACAGAGGATATGGGAATAAGGTGAATTTGAGGGAATGACAGACAAAAATAATTAAAGGATGAGAAGAGGAATACACTGGGTGGAGGAGGAAGGAAGGGGTAGAATGGAGTAAGTCATTTCACATGAAGAGGCACAAAAAAAACCTGTCACAGTGGAGGGAAAGATGGAAGAGTGGGCAGTGGGCATTCCTTGAATCTCCCTCTCTATCTTACCCAACAGGAAAGTAGGAAGGTTAGAGATTAAGGGGATTGGGACAGAAGAGAGGACAGACTGGGGGAGGTGGCAGACAGAAGCAAAACACTATCAAGGAGGGAAAGAGTGAAAGGAGAGAGGATAAATAGGAGGAAAAATAGGATGGAGGAAAATACAGTTAGTAATCATAACTGTGAATGTGAATGGGATGGACTCTCCCATAAAACTGAAGCAGATAGCAGAGTGGATCAAAAAACAGAATCCTGTAATATGTTGTTTACAAAACACACACACACACACACACACACACACATAGTAAAGGTAAGGGGCTAGAGCAGAATTTATTATGCTTCAGCTGAAATTTAAAAAAAAAACCAAAAAGCAGGAGAAGCAATCTTGATCTCACACAAAGCAAAACCAATTTCATTTTCACATCATTTTTGCAGCACATGGTTTCTTGCAGATGAATGAAAGCTGCTGTCATCATTGAGGATGGGAGTTCCTGAGGATGAGGTGGTGTTCCATTTCCCTCCTCAGCTTTCTCTGTTTCACTTTAGAAACCCTGGTTAGACTTTGTTAAAATTCCAATAAGATAAGAAAGGAAACTACATCTTGCTAAAAGATACCATAGACAACGAAGTAATACCAATACTAAATATATATGCATCAAGTAGTATAGCATCCAGATTCTTAAAGGAGAAGTTAAATGCATTACAGGTTCATGACCAAATGAGAGATGGAGAGCATTACAAATAGTAATTTTTATTGTATTAAATTAAAAAAACTTGTACACAAACAAAACCAATACAGCCAAGGTTAGAAGGAAGGCAGAGAGCTAGGAAACAATCTTTACAACAAGTGTCTCTGATAAACTCCTCATTTCTCAGATGTGTAGAAAACGGAGTCAAATTTATAAGAACACAGCCATTCCCCAGTTAACAAATAGTCAAAGGATATAAACAGGCAGTTTTCAGATGAAGAAATTAAAGCTATCCTTAGGCATATGAAGAAGTGCTTTAAATCACTTTTGATTAGAGAAATGCAAATTAAAACAACTCTGTGGTATTACTTCATACCTATCAGATTGGCTAATATGACAGAAAAGGAAAATGATAAATGTTGGAGAGGATGTGTGAAAATTGGGATACTAGTGCATTGTTGGTAGAGTTGTGAACTGATCCAGTCATTCTAGAGAGCAATTTGGAACTATGCCCAAAGGGCAACTAAACTGTGCATACCCTTTAACCCAGCAATACCACTACTAGGTCTGTATCCCAAAGACCTCATAAAAAAGGGAAAAGGACTTACATGTGCAAAAATATTTATAGCAGCTCTTTTCATGATGGCAAAATATTAGAAAATGAGGGGATGCCCATCAACTGAGAACTGGCTGAACAAGCACATGAATGTAATGGAATACTGTTGTTCAGTAAGAAATGATGAACAGGCAGATTTCAGAAAAACTTGTAAAGACTTGTACCAACTGATTCAAAATGAAATGTGCAGAACCAGGAAAACATTGTACAAAGTATCAGCAACATTGCGTGATGATCAGCTATGAATGACTCAGCTCTTCTCACCAACACAGTGATCCAAGACAAGTATAAAGGACTCACGAAAGAAAATGCTAGCTGTATCCAGATAAAGAACTGATAAATTCTAAATGTAGATGGAAGCATACTTTTTTCACTTATTCTTTTTCATATTTTGTTTTCCTTTTGATCTGTTTCTTTCACAATTGTGGACTAATAAGGAAATATGTTTTATATAATAGCACATGTATAACCTATATCAAATTGCCTACCATTTTAGAAAGGGGGGGGAAGGGAAAAAATTAAAACTCAAAATCTTGTGAAAATGAATTCCAAAACTTATCTTGACAAATAATTGGTGGGAAAATACCATTTTAAAAAATAAAAGAAATTTAAAGCCTATGTTAAATTCTTCACCTGTCAAATGAGAAAGTTGAACCTAGATGAACTTTGAGTTAGTTCCCTGCCAGGCTTAAGGTTTTGGAACCTGGTGATTTTCATTGCTAACACTTTACCAAGTAGGTAGACACTTCTGCGTATTTGTGGTGGTTTGTGAAAACAAGGTAGTTCTTTGGTTGTACCTCCCATCAGGCAATAGGAAAAACCATTTTAAAGATGTTTTTACTGCTTTATAAAAGGACTACATTAAAGAAATCCAATAAAATTTAGGGAGAAGTTTCTATTTTGGCCAGAATTTCACAGTAATTCAGTACTGTTTGCCTTTATTTAAAATTTTTCCTTCATCATACTAATGAGAGATCTAATTGTGTACTAATTTGAAGAATTGTCGAGTACCAGTGAGATGATAGAGCCAGCACATAATTAATGTGACCATATTGCATGAAAAGGAGCTTGCATTTCATGGAGAAATAAATCCTTTTAGAAACTGATCATTTGTTCCCTTTCATTCCCTCAATAGAAAATGTACTAGTCATACTTCCCTAAGTTCTGGCTGTCCTGACAATCCTTCTCTGCTGTTCTAAAGTGTCCAGTGTGATGAATGTTCCCCTAAGGTTGTTCTGTGTATCCATACAATCTGTTTACCTAAACAGATAATAGGAGACCCATAATCCTGTTCCTTCTTTAAAATAGCGTATTCCACGTTCCATAGGAGCATTAAGGAACCCCTATTCACATCACAAAGAATAGACACTCTCTTTCCTACCTTGTCCTCTTTCATTCCTTTCTTTTCCTTTCCCTCTCCCCCTCCCTTTCAATTCCTCCTCCTGTTTTGAAAGAAGTATTACTCATACCAGTTAGCCTAACATACCCAGCAGAATAGACATAGAAGACAGGAGGCAGTCAGAACCACTGGGAGCATTCTGAAGCAAGGTCATTTTTCCCTGGTGGTTACACTGTTTACCTGGGTGTAATGGAGATATGTGAGATAAATCTCATTGTCTCATGGGTGAGTAAATAGTCTGTGAATGAATATTTTTTTCCTACCTCTGCTTCCCCTTTTTTTGTTTTGCTGACTCCATCCATAGCCACAGAGATAGATATCTTATCTTCTACCACACAAAAATAAAAATATAAAAAACAACTTGGGATATTTTCATAGCCCTGCTCAAAATGTCCTCTGCCACCCTAACAAAATCATGTCCCACAACTTGGAACTGTAGTGAAGATCAGAGACCAAAGTCCAGCATTGGGACAATTAATGTGTCAGGTCATTTCAGAATACATATATGTACCTTATTAATGCTATACCTATTAGACCTTTCCTCTTATTATATAGGAGGGAGAACAGTCTACCTACAATTCCAACATTTGATTATTTTTTAGTTGTACTCAAAGAATATTCTTTTCTTGAACTTTTTTTGTTTGTGATAAATTGTGTTTATTTTACTAAAATACATTCTTCTTGTTCTGTAGGCACAAACTGTTGGTCCTGCAATGACCATACGTTCCCAGAACATGAGACTGATGAGGTCCCCCATTCTTCCTCAGACATCCAATGTGGAGGCCTTTTCCTTTCCCAGTTCTGGATGCCAGGCCGACGCCACATTCATGGAGGAAGAAGCAGTTGATACGCCAAAGGTACAGCGTGTTCTTGCATAGTTCAGAGCCAAATTCATGGGAGATTTGGTTTCCTCACAGCATCCAGCAATGGCAGTTTGTCAGTGGCACAAACTGGAGGGTACTACAAAAAGAACCCATGGAAAAATACTAGTCATGTGCCTCTGCATTAATCAATGAGGTATTTTCCTACTTTGGAACTTTTCTTCTGTGCCCTAATAACTGAAATTTCTGTAGCACTTTTAAGTTTTGCAAAGCACCCTGTACATCTTATTTTATCTTCACAATAGCTCCCTGAGGGAGGCACTCAAGTATTATTATCCCCATGTTACAGATAGGGACACTGAGGCTGAGAAGTTAAGTGATTTGCCTATGGTCACATGGCTAGCCAGTGTTGGAGGCAAGATTCAGACTCGGCTTTTCCTGACTCCACATTCAGTGCTCTATCCACTATAGCACTTTGCTCTGAAAAGCCTTTCCTCTGTTCCTTAAGGATCCATGTCCCTTCTCATTGTCCTTTAGTGAGTTGTGGGGTTTTTTTGTTTTGGGGCATTTTGAGGGCAGAGAGAAGCAGAAGATACTTCTAAATACCTGGCCTTCTTTATTGTTCCCACTATTCTCTGATTGTCTTGTGGCTGTAAACCCGTGGAACTGTCTTCTTGCTAGTTAAATAGATGAGTTGGTCATACTCGAAGGAGATGAGTTTTTGCACATGTGCAAATGACATTGCTTTTCAGATGGAGAGCAGACAGTTTGATGCTAGGATGTGAAACAGGAATGCAATGTTTTTGACAAGATGTAACCCTGAGCTACTGCTAACAATTAGAGGTTATAATGATACTACTACAAACACTGCCATTTTGGGTGATAGATAGGCTTTTCTTTCCCTACTCTTTCACCCTTAGAAGATTTGTTTGTCTGCTTAGCATGCTGTTCAGTGTACTCATGAACTGTTACTACCTTCTTTCCCACTTGGTTGGAAGCCATCTTATTCCATTTGTTTGCACATTTGAAATCTGGACATAAATTGGGAAGGGGGAGATAAGAGGCCCCTCAAAAAAACTCATCTATTTTGAAGCTCTGAGAAAAGACAAACGTAGGGTATTAAAGTTTCACCTGTGGGAGCATCAGGCCCCAAACATACAAATGGGACACTGTCTGCATTATTATTTAGAGTGAGCAATTATTTTAAAGCGTGTGAATTTTTTGTAACTAGGGAACAAAGTGGAAATGACTAGGGGGAAGATTCAGAGTGCTCCTTAATGCTTTTATATAGAGAGAACAATTTGAGAGTCCTGGTATAATTCTGCTATGCAAACCAGCTAGGTCTATTTTTTGCCTGTTATATTTTTGTTAGCTTGTTCGTCTCAGCTTCTTCTCCCTAATACTGCCTCCTTTGGGACCTATAAATCACTACACATAGAAACTGTTAGAGCCTTAGAAAACTAGAGTGAGCTGAGTCAGCCAGTGACACACTCCTTGCTTCTTGCAGTGCTTAAGAAGAGGTTGGATGGCCATTTGTTGGGGATGGTAGAAAGGGGATTTGAATAGAAGGTGAAATAGATGACCCCGACATCTGTTCCAGTCCTTCGACTCCACGACTCAGATATGACTACAGCTCATCTTTGTGTTCAGCTTGATTGATGTGGATTTAGTTATAACATTTTCCACCCATTGTATTTTTAGGAAGCATTTCATAACATCATATATTCCCTAATTTCACTTCTGTCCTCAGTAACCAACATTTATAGTAAATTTCAAGGGGACTGCGTCTCCCCATGATCCTTATTGAGACCTGGGACCTTCTTTAAAGGTATGAGACCTTTCAGGTTCCAATCCCAGAGAAGCCAGGATAGACCTTAAGGAGTCTGTGTAGTGTGAGAGATAGAGCCCTCTTAATTTGGAATTAAAGGACCGGAGTTCAAATCCTGGTCCAATTTTGTATGTATAACTTTGGAAGGGGGCAGCTAGGTGGTACAGTGGATAGAGCATCAGCCCTGGATTCAGGAGGACCTGAATTTAAATCCGGCCTCAGACACATAACATTTAGTAGCTGTCTGACCCTGGGCAAGTCACTTATCCCCGTTGCCTAACCCCCTCCAAAACAAAAAATCTTTGGAGAAGTCATTTCACCTACCCCAGGCCTCAGTTCTGTTATTTGTGAAATGAGTAGGGTTAGACTAGACAGCTCTGAGCTCCAAATCCCATGATCCCTTCTCATCCAAACCTTGATTATTTACAGCTGTCTAAAATATGCTAGATAGACTGCATAGGCTGTTAGGGAATTGTGGTACTTTTTTTCAGTATCCTCCATCTGCATTGATAATATTCATGATGATTATTGTGATGGCAGATTGCAAGTGATGTTTTATATAGGTTTTAGTGTTTGCAAAGTTCTTATCATTACTTCAACTAAGGCTCACAGTACCCCTGGGATGGAAGTATTTAACAGGTATTATTATCCCTATTTTACAGGTTAGAAAACTGAGCCTCAGAATTAAGTGACTTGTGCATGTGTTTGCCTAGCCATTAAGTGTTAAAGGTGGTATTAACCGCCTTACCCCAGCTTCAGTATTCTGTCTACTTTGCTGCCCTACATTCAGGTCATCAGTCCAAATACTCTGGACAGTTGGGAGTAAGTGAGCTTAGGATCATGGTAAAGGTAGCTACAAGCGGACACTGAAAACTGATACTTTGTCTCATTTAGAGTTTGTAGAATGAATTTTGGGGTTGTATTTGTTGTTTCGGAGGTGGTGAGTGCTGCAAAGAAGTATTTCTACATATTTCATAATCCCTTCCTGTTTTCATTTTGAGGGGACCACAGAGGCCAATAATAAGATTTTGCAAATCACCACTCCTCTTCTGCCCGCCAAAAGGGGAGAAATTGGGCCATGAAAATGTGTGGATGGTGATGAATTGTCAGAGACAACATTGACATTTGTTTCAGAATGCAGTGGTACAATGTAGCTTTTTTATTTCCACTATTTTTGTTGGCTATAAATGATGCTATTGATTAGTGCAGGAAACTCTTATTTTTCAGGCATTCTTTTTTATGATAGACCAAGGAGCTTTATCCCTTGTCAATAGGGGCACTGACTGTTGTGAGTCCTGTTTGTGCCCTAAACACTTAAGTGACTTCTGTGTACATAGTTTCTTATAAGTGTGAATTGACTTCAAGGAGAAGGAAAAATGAATGCCTTTCAAAGTGTTAGAGATCTCTCCAGCCCTTGTTACATTTCAGAATGCATGCCTGAGGCAGCAGAGATTGTTTCCTAGACCAAAATATTTCATTTCTAACAGCTGATATTATACAAAAACTGCCAGCCATTTTTGCCACAGAATGTCCCAAGTTTTAAAGTATTGGGAAGAAGGGAATCCCAAAGTGCCGTGGAAAGCATTACTATACTCCGCTTCATCTGATCGATAATCAGTCCGGATGCCAAGTGAAGATGCCTTTCATTCCCAAAGTTACACAAGCACTTTTTATTGTTGCTGCTGGTTACAATGTTACAATGTGTGATGATGTTACCTCTGCCCATTTTAAGATGGTCTGTGCCAGGCATAGTAACTTCTCGTGGCTCTTGCCAGTCTGGCAGAGGAGGGAAGACTAAAGAAGAGCATGAACCAGGCCTCTGACAGTATACTTAGAATTCATAATGCTGCTCCCTCCATAATGGCATGAGATACTGGGAAGAAAGAGTACAGGAAGACTTGGAGTCAGGAAACCTGGGTTCAGATCACACCCCTGACATTTACAACATCCTTGAGCCTCACTTTCTCCATCTGTAAAATAGGGCTAATTCTTTCACTGCTTACCTCACAGTGTTCTTTGCGGGGGCGGGGGGGAGTAAGCCTTATAACTCTGTATAAATGGAAATTGTTATAACCAGATTGAAGACAGGCTGAGATTAGCCCGGTGTGGGGGTGGGGCATGGGAAGAAGCTTCCGGTGGCACAAGCAGCTGAGCTATAACCAGAGGCTGGTTGCCACTTTTTAGCCCATTCTGAAACTGGAGCAAAGCCCCAAGGCATTGAAGAATGTCTTCTGCCAGTCTTACCACCTTGTCATTTAAACAGGTGTTACTGAAAGGAGAAGGATATGGTGCAACAAAAAGCAGATTCTGAAGCGTGCTGATGAGAGCAAGAGTTTATTCTGGCTAATCTCTCCACCATAGCCTCAGGTGGACCAAACTGATTTTATAAGGAAATGGGTTAATCATACATGAAAACACTCATTTCCCAAAATCCAAACAGTAGTTAACTAATGCAATAAGAGAGTATCTTTTCTCAGAAAATCTGGTGAGCACAAGCTTTTCCTGGGTCCAGTTGGTGTGCCATCAAGTTGCCTTCTTCCAAAGATGACCTAGGGCCAGGTGGGCAAGAGTCTGAGTGCCAGAAAGAAGGGACAGTATGAATGTCTGCTCTTTTAGGAAGCCCAAGCTCATTACTAAATGCACGTCTGTCTTTTAAGTACAGCAAATCTGTTGCTGATCCTTCATTCTCAAAGAGGACCAATGACATCCTGAGGGTGATGTCTTGACTTGTGCACAAATTAGATTTAAGTGAGGTTAGATAGAGGTGTGCAAGCCATAGTAGTGCCTGTTCAAACCTGTCTCTGTCATCCAAGAAGCAAAAATTAGAAGCTGCTTTTCTCCAGGAGTCACAACAGTGTGTAACAAATTTTTGTGAGTGTCCAAGTGGTTGTAACAGATCCACTGTGATAGCCACATCAGTCCCTGCTCACTAGTAAGATTTTGGTAGAAGTTATAAATTAAACATTGTTAAACAGCAACATATTTAGTCCTTGCCCCGCTCCCTGGTCTTTGCACTGTGACCTTATTTTCTTCCTCATCTTTGTGTCCTTGGAGCCCCTCAGACAAAGTGGGGGCTCAGTAAATTGAATAGTTATGTTCCTGGACAGTGTCAGAAAACTGAATCAGTAGAGTATGAACAGGTCTCAGAAGCCAGAGTGGGAGTTACAAGATGCTTCTCAAGCAGCCACTTGGTTCTGAAAGACCATGAGCCACCCAAGAAAGGGAGAAGCCTGGGGAAAGTCCAGGCTGGGAATAGAAGCGGCTGTCAGGGTGAGAGTTGTGGGGTGCCAGGGACTGGGCAGGCCCTGAAGAAGCACTTCTTTTGAAACCTCACTTGACTTCTTCTCCAAGTGCTCTTTATTTAAAATGCTGTTCCCAAGGATGGCACAGCCCCAAAGCTATTTTCGTGGCATAACCTCTGCACAGGCAAACAAAGGTCTGAGTCACCCAAGTCTCCCTCTCCAAATAAAGAGCCTAAAATTCCTCCACAATGATTGGCTACAGGCAAAGGGAAGTTTCTGGCACAGGAAGGTCCCACGTCACCTCACATATGGGTCTGTCCTGCTTCCAAAGGAAATAGTCATTCTACACCGTCTTCCAGGTGAAAGCGTTGCTTAGAGCTGAGTCCCCCCGTGACTGGCTATTCCTCAGAAGCTGTTCTCAGGGTATATATGATCACACAAAGTGGGGGGATGGTTTGAGTAACAAGACAAAGACTTGCTTTTTCTTGGAGATTTTACCATCCAGGCGAGAGTCAGACTACAGCTTCCTTCTGCATGCTTCTATCTACCCTGCAGTAGAGCTTTCAAATGTAAGTGGGCTTTCTTGGCAACAGCTTCTAAAGGCTTGGCTCCACCATGCCAGATTCTCACCTCTGAGCAGGACTGAGCTAATCTCTGCTGGAGGTGAGATGTAGATTATTGCATGTGTTGTCTGTAGAGAATGAGTTCAGTGCTCTGGCATTCATTAACCTCTCCCGGATCTGGGGGCATGTAAATCATTTATTATTCTATAATGGAAGGCACTGACCATTTACAGTATTATTCCAGGCCTTTGTTGTGTTTCCAGCCACCAGGGAGAATGTTCACACTTATGTACCGCAGGCACATGGGGCCAATAAAAGCTAAATCCAGTGGGCAGGAAGTATGACTGTGGGCACAAAAGTGTGCTGGGAACCTTCTAGAGTAGTTTATGACTTTAAACCATGAAGAATATTGCAGGTTCCTCCTGAACAGTACAACAAATGAATTCTTGTTCCTCACCACTGCTTCGCTTCTTCTCCCCCTTTTCTCAAAAAAACAAAAACAAAAACCTGGTTAATTCCAATATGGAGTGCCTCTGAGAAGGCAGACCCTCAGAAAGAACAGCCTCAAAGAAGATGCCAGTTTGTGGTGGAGCAGGCCTTTATCCTGTGGAGAGATAGCACAGCAGTGGTCTCACCTGAATCTTTGGTCCTGAATTTTCAACGAAACGCCATAATGAGGATTCCATATTTCACTCAGTTTACAGTTTGCTCCAAAGTCTGTGCCATCTTAGGGCAGCCAGGTGGCACAGTGAATAGAGTGCTAGGCCTAGAGTCAGAAGGACTCATCTTCCTGAGTTCACATCTGGCCTGGGACACTTACTAACTGGGTGACCCTGGGTAAGTCACTTAACTATGTTTGCCTCAGTTTCCTCATCCACAAAATGAGCTGGAGAAGGAAAGGGCAAACCACTCCAGTGTCTTTGCCAGGAAAACCCCAAATGGGATCACAAAGACTCAGGCATAACTGAAAAATGACTGAACAACAACAACTGTGCCATCTTCTTTTACAGAAACATCTAGTGTTTCAACAGAGCAGCGGCTGATGAATTTCACTCTTACATTCTTGATATTGTAGGTGAATGGTTGTCTGCTGGACCCAGTACCCCCCATAATGATGAGAAAAGGATGCCAGTCACTGCCTAGTAATATGATGGAGACCTCCATTGATGAAGGAATAGAGACTGAAGGAGAGTCTGAGGAAGACCCCAGCCATACATTTGATGCTTTCCAGTCGACACGCTGTGGGCAGAGACGTCACACACTGGCCGAAGTGACCAATCAGCTAGTCATGGTGCCTACCACAGGTAAATGCTGGGATAGGTATCAGGTCAGACCTTCACTATTTAAATTGTACCTTTACCACCTGAGAGTTGTGGGTTACATTTTCTAAGAATCAAGTCCTAAGTTTTAGTCTGTTTCATTTTTTATGTAGCCCAGATAGCAACAAGATAAAATCCTAGAACTTAGCATATCAGCACCTCTTAAGGAGTTCCCATCTGCTGGTCCGGTCCCCATTATATTTGTTCTCAAGTTTAGGGGTTGGGAAAATAGTTCATTTCATCCCTAGAAGATTTAGCCTAGGAATGTGAAGTTTATGAAACTGTTGGTTGATTAGTTAGCTGGCCCAAAGAAAGATTTACTGGTTTTGGTTATACCTTTTTGGTTGGTTCTTGAAGGAAAAGTCTTTTCTGTGAACGACCACCCCTCCTTGGGCAGTGTGGATTCTGAGTCTGACATGGGATCCACTCAGAGGGATCTGAACTTCCTAGAGGACAACCCATCCCTGAAGGACATCATGTTGGCCAATCAGCCTACACATCGCTTGACACCTCCTTTCCTAAGCATACGGCCTGCCAATCCAGCCATGCAGGTGTTGAGCTCACAGAAAAGAGAGGCTCACAACCGGTCCCCGGTCAGCTTCAGAGAAGGCCGAAGGGCATCAGATACCTCTCTCACACAAGGTAACTCTTCTTTTCTTTACTTTTCTACCAGTTTTACAATTATAAATGATGGGAGCTAAGTGGGGCTTTGTAATTGTATTTGTTAAGTTATTTACAAAAAGGCCTTGGGTATTCAACTGGGCTTTTTGTTCTTATTTTTTTTCTTCTTTTTAGGGCTTGTAGCATTTAGACAGCATCTTCAGAACCTGGCTCGAACCAAAGGCATTCTTGAACTGAACAAAGTCCAGTTGCTATATGAACAGATGGGCTCGGAGGCAGAACCTAGCTTAGCATCAGCTGCTCCTCAGCTCCAAGACCTTGTCAGCAGTGCCTCACAGGTGGGTATTGTAGGCCCTTTAAATAATGCGTGCAAATCCAAGCACACCATAGTCCTGGAAACAATACTTTAAACAATTCTTCCTTCTGTCCAGAATCTTCAGGTTAGCACCTGAAGGGTAATCCAGCCTCCTTCTTCTTGTTAGCTTAATATCACTAAAGCCACCTACAGAACTAAGCATTCCTAACTAAATTCCACAGCTAAGACCTCTGGAGCCATAACTTTTTCATACAAAAGGGATTACATCCCCATACCATCCTTGTCCTGTCTTATCCACTAAATTCTTAACTTTTATTCTCTCGACCCCAGTGATGATGAAGCCTCAGCTCCGTAAGCAGTCTACCTTTTCCCATTTGTTCTTTCCATAACCACTTTCATGGACTCCCAGATTCCAATCCAGCTCTTCCTGTTCCTTCCATTATGCTTTCTAGAACTTTCTATCATTAACAAACTTCCCCTCACATTGGACTTCTTCCTTTGGTGGTCCTTGCCACTCTGGCACTGATAAGGACCTGGATTCCTCCTCCCTTTCTTCTCTGCCCCCCAAAGATATTGCATTCCTGGCTGTCTTTTCCAGTGTTGGATATAATTTCTTTGATAACCTTGCGTTTTCTGGTCCAAGAGGAGTAGGTGTAAGCCTTGCTTCCTATTACCATTTTCAGACCTCTCCTGCAGCTTCTCAGCATCCTTACCTCCAGCGAAGATCACTCTATCCACATATACCACCCTAGCCATGTCCTCATGGAAGTCATCTACTGGTCTCCAAGTCCTTCTGTCTTCCTTCTCATGAAGTTCAGTACCTGGCTTTTCTCTCTATCCCATTCCCTCTTACCATGTGAGATGTCTTCATCATGCAAGTTGATGATCCCTTGTAGCTCCTTTAGGTCCAAGTTCCTTAGTCTCCTTGACTGGCCTAACCCCACCAGGGATGATCACGCCCTTCATCTCACTATTGTCCATAAGTGTTCTACTTCCAGGATTAAGAATTTTTAAATTCTCCTATCCAGTTATGACTTTTTATCATTTCCTCCCTGTCATTCACCCTCATCAGGACTCTTAGCTCTTCTTCCTCTCAGTGACCTCCCAGTCCATCACCCATGATCTGGCTTCACATTCCGCTTCCTTTCCCAGTCTTAAATCTAGAATTTACCCATCTTGAATTGCTTGCCTGCTTATCTTATTGTTGCTAATACCCTGCCAATCTTAAACCCTGTGTAACTACCATAGACCTCCTCTTCTCCTACTCATATGCTGCTGACATTAACTGGAGGAAATCATGTAACCATACTCGAGTCCACTACAGACTGGCCTTCACTACACCAAAGCAATCTTTTACTTCTCCCTAATTGTCTCTAACAGATTCTCCAGAACAGCTATGTCACACCTTATACTCTGTCCTCAAGCTTCCTATTTGACTATCCCCACCATTATCCTTTTCAGGAAAGGACATAACCTTATTCTTTACGAAGGAAATAGAGGCTGCTTAATCACCATGAACACTGTCTTCTCTCCTCTACATTTCAGAATGTCTTGGTGTCACTGCCCGTTCTTTCTTGCTTTTCCTCCAGTGTATGAAGCCACCTTTCCACTTATACCTTTGATCCCATTTCCTCCCCGACATTGTCCCAAAAATCATTTCTTTTCTCCAGGCTTCCATCTCTACCTTTCTGTTGGCTTCTTGTACAATGCACGTAAACAAGCCCAGGTCTTCACTATCCTTAAAATTTCTGACTTGACCCTACCATGCCCTCAGATTCTGACCTTCTCTCTCTCCTTCCTTTCTCAGTTAAACTCCTGGAAAACAGGCAGCTGTTTGCTCTCATTACTTCCTGTCTTCTCCCTTACTTCTCTGCCCCATGCAGTCTGACTTCTGATCTCATCACTCAGCTAAATTGTTCTCCCCAAAGTGACCATAACGGCCAGACCTCATTGGTTTTTTTCTCAGTTTGTGCTCTTTTTTGCCTCTACCACATCTGAGCCTATTGACAACTCTCTCCTCCCTGGATTTTTGTGACAGTGCTCTCTCTTTGTGCTCCTTCTAACTGTGGGTATCTCCCAAAGCTCTGTACGGGGCTCTTTTCTCTCACTACACACTCTGGCTCCATTATTTTATCAGTCCCCATGAGTTCACTGATCATTTATGTACAATTGACTTCCAGTTAACCAGAAAGCATTGAAGTACCTACCATGTGCTACACACTAGAGTTACAGATAGAAAGAATAAGACAAACCCTGCTCTGGAGGAGCCAACATTTTAATGGAGGAGGCAATTCCATCTATAAATATTTACCAAATATAAAGAGTATGAATACAAACAAATACAAGATAGAGGCACTAGCAATTGGAGAATTAGGAAAGGCTTCCTGTAGAAGTGGCACTTGAGCTGGATTGTGGAAGAGGAGAGGGATTCTGTGAGGTGGCGATGAGGAGGGGGAGTGCATTCGTGCCGTAGAAGACAACCAGTGCAAAGGCCCAGGTGTGGAATATGGAGTGCCACGTGTGAGGAACACAGAGCAAGCCAGTTGGGCCAGATTGTAGACTTAGGGAAGGAGGGGAATGCACAGTGCAATTGGAAAGATAGTTTAGGATCTGATTGTTTAAGACTTTAAAAGCTAAACAGAAAACTTTAAATATTTTCTTAGATGCAATAGTGAGCCACTAGAGTTTATTGAGTAGGGAAATTACATAGTCAGACCTGTGACTTAAGGAAAATCACTTTGTTTGCTGTGTAAAGGATGAATTATAGAAGGAGAGAGATCTCAGGCTCAGATACCTTTTAAGAAGCTAATGCAGTAATCCTAGCAAGAGGTGATGAGTTCTTGAGTTTGAATGGTGGCTCAATGAGTCGAGAGAGAAGGGGATCAATATGAAATATACGGAGGTGCACTGACATGATTTGGCAACACAGGGTATAGGAGAATGATGAGTCCAGGATGACAACAAGGCTTGAAAACTTGAGTGACCAAAAGGCCTGCCCTCCAAAGTCCTGGGGAAGTTTGGCAGAGGAAAAGATAATGAGTTCTGGTTTCAACAAGTTGAGCATGAGGCTTGTGCAAGACATCCAGTTTGAAATGTCCAGGAGTCTCTGATAATGTAGGACAACCTCGAGGGAGAGGACGGGGCTGGATAGATCAGTCTTAAGCCATCTGCATACAGAGCATAGTAATTAAACACATGGGAGTTGATGGTGTAGGTAGAAAGTATATCCAATGCTGGAAAGGGCCCAGGATAGAACCTTGGCATTGAGCCATGGTTAAAGGGGAGTGATATAGCACATGAGCCAACCAAGAAGACTGAGGAATGGTCAGACTGGTAGGAGGAGGAGAATCAGAAAGTGAAGTCCTGAAATCCTAGAAGAGAGGAGGGAATAGGCTCAGGAGGGTGAGGAGGGAATAGCCTCAGAAGGGTGCTCAGCCCTTCACCTCCAGCTCCCTTCTTGCCTCTCCCTCTTCAAACCTTTAGCTTCTTTCAGTGCTCAGTTGATGCCCCCTAACCGCTAGTATTCACATATAATTATCTCCTCTTTAGGATCATGAGATTATAGATCTAGAACTAGAACTAGAAGTGACCTCGGAGTTGGATGTTAGAGTCCAACTCCTTCCTCTTACTGACCAGCAAACTGAGGACTTGCCCAGAGTCACACAAGCAGTAAGCATCTGTGGCAGAACTTGAACCCAAGTCTTCTGATTCCAAAACTAGTGTTCTTTCCCCTGCACCAGGCTACCTCCATTTATTTTGCACAGATGTCATATTTCCTCATATATGGGTGTGTTATTTTTCCTCACAGAATATTAGCTCCCCAAGAACAGACTGTTTCATTTTGTCTTTGCATTCTCACTGCCTAGCAAAAGCTCATCCCTTAGTATAGATTTAATAACGCTTATTGGATTGAAGGCATGAGTTCAGTAACCCCCCCAGACCACCTCTGTCAGGGAGAAGGTGTAGAGCAGTATTTCTCAAAGTGTGGTCTAGGGATCCCTGGGGACCCCAGGACCCTTTCAGGGACTCTGGGAAGTGAAAACTTCATAATAATACCAGGAAATTTTAATGTTTAATACAGTGAATAATGATAGATATAATCCACACAAACATTGGCCCCTTAGAGTCCTCAGTAATTTTAAGAATGTAAAGGTATCCTGAGACCAAAAGGATTGAGAACTACTGATCCCACTGTGTTTTATTCTTTGTTGACTATTTTTAAAATTTTATAGGGTTGAACAAGATACAGTTTGTCAAGAATCTTCCAATAAGGTGTTTCCCATGCACGTATTAGCATCAGACAAGATTCCTTAATGGGCACAACAGAGATGTCATTGACAGTCAGTCCTCTCATTATTAAGATCAAGTGAGGCGTTAAAGAGGGGCCCTGTGTGCCCTATGAAGGTGTTTATTACAGTCATAGAGGATGTCAGGGCAGAATTCAGATGTAAGAACGTGTTTGCAGATGATATTGTGCTAACTGCTTAAGGTCCTGAAAGATTGTAGAGAAGATTCCAACTTAGCAATCTACATAGGAAAAACCAAGTGGATGAAGAATACTGTTGTCCACAGGATGATATGCTATTGGATCTACAGTCTGTAGAGCTGGTCCACCAGTCCATAGATCTTGGGCAGGCACTACAGGTGCATTATGATGAGCTGGGCCCAGAATTCATTGGGAAAAAGGGAGTGAGCTGTACTACATTTGGGAAATTCCACAGCACTTTCATTAACCCCAGCCTTTTTCCTAAAAATAAAAAACCCCCAACATTTTTAACACCAATATTGTTTCTATGATGCTTGTTGTCATTGAGTCATTTCAGTAATGTCCAACTCTCCATGACCCCATTTGAGGTTTTCTTGGTAAGGATACTAGAGTGGTTTGCCATTTCCTTCTCTAGTTCATTTTACAGATGAGGAAACTGAGGCAAAAGTGGTTAAATGACTTGTCCAGGGTCCCACAGCTAGTAAATGTCTCAGGTGGCATTTGAACTCAGATCTTCCTGACTCCAGGCCTGGCACTGTATCCACTGTGCCACCTAGCTGCCCCAGTAAATAAAATAAAAATAAAATAATATTTAATAAAAATAAATAAAAACCCATTTTTAACATTAGTATTTTTCTATGACACTATATGGTTGTAAATATGGAACTGTAGTCTCCATCAAAACTATGCTTTGTCCAGAGTGCCGAAGAGAGACCATACAAAAGCATGCACAGACTTCAGCATGTTACCAGTAGTGAATTGGGTGTTAAGGATGGCATAAAAGATATCAAAGAGATAAATATATCAGCAGAAGAGAAGTCGGGCTAGTAAAAGTAGGAGGCAGTCAGCCCTCATGCTGCATTGTACCCAAGGAACTTTAGGAGCCTTCGCGGAAGGCTTTTCCCCACCTCCCCTCACCCCATGCTACCTGGACACCACTGGACAGTTTAGGGAAAGACACAGACAAGAGCCCACAGGATGAGAAACCATGGATCCAGGAGCACTCTGCACCATTGGAGGAGGAACTGCCCCCATTGGTGAAATCACAGGTCTGTCCAAGGACTGACGTATGAGAATACTGAGGCAGAAGTACCTGGAGCACAAGAACCATGGCGCCAGGTCCAGGAGAGTCACCTGTGACACAACAGTGCAGTCTAGCACCTTCGGAGTAACTTGTAGTCTCCATCTGATTGGACAGATTTCCCTCTTTTCTGTGAATATGCCGCAAAGGGGGTGATCCCCCCATTGCCTAGCAGAAAAGAAACGTGATGCCACATTATGGAGAGTTGAGATTCTTCATGGTAGTCCTTAAGGTTACTGAAACTGAGAGCCTTGTAGGGAACTTCAAGTTGTTTTTCTTTCTCTTCTTGCCCTCGTCAGGAGGAAGCCCCTCAGCCCCAGGACAATGCCTCTGTTTTCCCTAACACTGTGCATCCACAACTGTCCAGACGGCAAAGCCTGGAGACCCAGTACCTGCAGCATAGACTCCAGGTGGGATCCTTCCCCTTCTTTCTCTGCCAGAATCCGTCAGTGAGCAAAACAAACATTTGCTCTGGGTGGTGGCTATTTAGAGCTGCTGCGTTCTTATCGTCATGTACTCTTTGTGGCTTCTGGGAATGTAATTAGGCCCATGCCCTGGGCCGAGATCTGTCATCAAACTCCAGGAAAATAAATGTCCTTGAGGTACTGATTGGGCAGGGGCAGCCTGGCCATCTGTGTTCCCCAACTGACCCTAATCTGAAAAGGTAAATAACTTATTTTTCAAACCCAGTTAAATCCTTGTTGTAGTTCTACAAATTATAGAAGTGAGTAACTAAAGAATGAAAAGGGTCAAAACTGAAAATGGCCATCAGTTCTGATTCTGTTCCATCTTTACCTGGAAGGCTCTGCTGCCTTCTTGTCAGTGACTTAACAGTGAAATATTAGTCTTGTATCCTACCAAGATACTCTAATTCTTCTTCAAGAGTATCCTCCAGGTCCAAGAAGCCTTCACTGATATATCCCGGCAAGCTTATTTCTCCTGAGTTCCCTTGTTCAAATGTTGTTGCAGAAACCTAGCCTCCTGTCCAAAGCACAGAACACCTGCCAGCTCTACTGTAAGGACCCTCCACGGAGCCTGGAACAGCAGCTGCAGGAGCACAGGTGAGGGCCTTTGGCCACACAAATCACTGTGCCTGGAGGAGCTCTTCCCAGGCAGAGCAGAGGCCTTCTGCTGGCCCAGGGGGTTAGAGAGTCTCTCTAACCAGGAGGGCTACTCGTTCTGCAGCGCATTAATTGAGGCATTTGCCTGGTAAGGACTAAAAGACATCACCTGTGCCTCTCAATCCTCTGGGGTTTTTTCTCCACTTTTTGTCTGTTGTGGTTAGCTTCTGGAGAGGACACCGTGAACCAAACGGGGTGCCAGGTGCTCCAAAGGGAGCTCATCAGGCATGCCTTCAAGGCCCCATTCTCAGAGCCTCCTCTGTAGGCTGTCCTAAGGAGCACGTTTTTGTCAGGACTGATTCCCCCAGTCTCTAGGTTTGGTGACTTTGACACATCCTTGCTCAGACCCTGGCAGTAGCCACCTCCCTGGGTCCTTCTTTGTCTTGCCAGCAGGTGGTTATTACTTTGCAGCCAGGGCACAAACCTAGCCTCGTCCTAGCCTTGCATGAGCTGGAGCCTCTGGCTTTCCGTATGAAGTTCCAAGTTTGAGAAGCTGAGAATTAAAGCTTGACTTTATGTCAAAGGGAAAAACTTGGGGGAACAGTTGTATTGCTGCTTTTCTCCTGGGAAGTGAAGGAGGTTGGGGAGTTTGGGCTGGGTCTTCATTTTCATCAAAGACAGAATCCCTTGAGGTATTTATTCCTTTTCCTCTCCCTGATTCAGGCTGCATCAGAAGCGACTCTTCCTCCAGAAGCAGTCCCAGCTGCAGGCGTACTTTAACCAGATGCAGATAGCAGAGAATTCCTACCCAAGGCCAAACCAGCAGCTGCCGCTTCCCCACCAGGAGCAGCTCTCCAGTCCTCCGCCACAGGCACCCCAGTCACCCCAGTTCAGCCTGGCCCAGTCGCTAAGCCCAGTGCTAGAGCCTTCCTCAGAGCAAATGCAATATGACCCGTTCCTCAGCCAATACCGTAAACTGCAGCTCCAGCCCTTGCCCTCCTCCCAGGGCCCCAGCTCCCCACCTCCCCTGTCATCACAGCTGCAGCAGCAGCCGCCACAACCGCCAGCAGCCCCCCCACCCTTACCGTTCTCTTATCAGACTCATGAGCTATCAGGTGCGGCCCCCCCTGAGCCAGACTATCCTCCCCCCTGTCAGTATTCCATGGACCCAGCTCAGCAAAGCAATGTAGCATTACCAGACTGTCCCAGGAGCTCTGGGCCAAGGGAGTCCCCCTCCAACTATGACCCGTTAGCACTCTCTGAGTTGCCTGGACTCTTTGATTGTGAAATGATGGAGGCTGTTGACCCACAGCCCAGTGGCTATGTCCTTGTGAATTAGCCCCAGCAAACGCAGTGTTCATGTCAGGAAGCAAGCAGGGCAAAGGAAAAGAGTGTGAATTTTTGTTTTTATTCCAACCTTGAAATTCACAGCTTATTTCCTGCATTTCCCCTAGTGGAGAAATGTCAAGTTGCCCCACTGGAACTGTCAGGGCCTGGCTGAGGCTGGGTGGTTAGTTCAGCCTGGCCTTGTCCACAGGAGCTTCAGAGGCAGGTACTGAACGTAGTTGTTAGACTGAAGATCATGCCCTTTGGGCAGATGGAGCAAACTTGAGGAAGACTCAGAAAATGTTTTTTTTAGGAAGGAATTCACACCTTCATTTTATACCACGTTATACCAGTCAATTATCAAGGGAAACCTGGTGAAAGCAAGGATGTGGCATGGCCTATTTCCTGGCAATAAAAGCAATATATTTTTCACTGAAATAAAGCAACAAAGTGTTAGGCGCTAAATGGTAAATCAAGAATGCTTCTGGATTGTGGGTACACAGGTGATTTTAAAAGAAAGTCGTATCGTGGCATTGAATTGTGGAGTGTGACAAGCTTTGTTCTTTGACTGATAAATAATAGCATTTCACTGATGTTGGGAGAAGCTAGAGATGAACCCCTTAGATGGGCAACTCACCTCCCTGTGGTGGACAGTGGCCCACCTCCTCAGAAGGTGCAGACCCCTGCAGAGAGGGGACAGGCCCACTGGGCTTGGGCTCTAAAGATTGCTATGACTCTCAGAGTCAGTGCTCTGTTCTCCAAAGATACCATCTCTGTGACAGAAAGGAGAAATACCTGAAACATCATGAAGGCCAGCCCTGGGCAGAAGAAAGAGCAGGCTTCTAGCACACAGTCCCTTGGGAAGACTTCTAGTCTGAGCAGCTGATCAGCAGGGGTCCCTCAGTCTCTTAAAAAGTAATGACTGTACTTTAAATTTACACTATAGTCTCTAGTGGTTTATTAAGCTTTGTTATGTTGGACAGTGGTGTCGGGTTTTAGCACGCGTTAAGGACAAGCAAAGGCGGCGGTGGCGGCGGCATCCCATGTGAAGGCAGGAACAGCGCTGTGCTTCCCTGGTTCTTCGACGGACAACAGCACCCCATCGTATCCACGCTGAATCCAAAGTCACATCAGAGGGGGTGTCCCACCATGTGGGATACAGAGTGCTCACGTCCTCTGCTGTTATGACTTGCTTATCTGCTTGAAATGTTAAACGTATGACAGCAATATTCAAAGAACTCTGGATGTGGTTACCATTTCATAGCAGACCATCTGCCAGTCACTTGACATTCATTAGTAGAGCTTAACCTCACCTCAGACCTTAGAATTTATCAAAAATGAGTCAAAAGCAGATGTGACTACAAGTCTCCTGTATACCTAGAATTAGTGATTACTCATTTGGACAGTGTCCCCCAAGGGTTAGAAATTCAGTATTAATGATGTGGAATAATTATCCCTCCTCAGAGTGGCTGCTCCTTGATAGAGCAGATGAGCACAATAAAGCACGAAGACCAGGGGTCCTGCACTGTCCCAGGTAAGAAAATACATGGAGATGCCTTTTTTCTTTGTCACAAAGTCCCCCTGGGGGACTGGGAGCAGGATGGAAACTTGAGGATTCCATTTAAAGCATCCCAGCTCACTCCCCCTCCCAGCATTGTTTCTGAGGCCCACAGTTGTTGGCCCAATGGAGCCAACTTGTCTGTCATCATGTACTTAACATTCTGGGTCAGGTGGAGAAAGACAAGTGGCATTAACCAGTTCCCCATGCTTCTGGGTTGGCTTCCATGCGATAAAGGGGCCAGTGGAGAGGATGGAATTACAGTAATTTTAAGTCATAACCTAGGGAAAACAACTAGTCTTCGTTCGTCTAGAAAATGTGTGCAGGGAGGCAGGGTCTTTACACGTAAGGATTGATAGTGCATAGAATTGGCAAAGGTGATCCGAGGTGCTTCTGAGTAGGACCCCCTGCCAGTTGTCGTATTTTAAGATTCCACAGAACTTAAGCCAGAAGGGAAAAAAGTGTTTTTGACATAAATAGCAGCAGTTGCCTTACATTGCTTCCTAATTTGCTAGATGGCAGGCATTTATTTTATTCATTGTGTTCTTTTCTAAGGCGATATTGATCTCTAACTGCTTCAAGTCTGCAAACAGTTGCTGATCCTAAAATGGCTTGATATGTTTAGATTGAAGGAGGATGGATGTGCTTTCAAAGATGTACTAGTGTTGTTGCCTGGTATTTATGAAATTGAAATACTTTCCATTTTGAACATAGGAACCGTTTCAAAAGCATAGGAATTCTGTTGGTTATAGATTTACATCTCAGTTCTCTCTCCATATCCCTTTCACTCAGACAACTGACTAAATCTCTCCAGAGGCCAGTTGGGTAGCTGACTACCCCCAGAAATCCCCACAGGGTCTCGTGGCACTAGAAAGGTCCATCCATTGAAAAAAGAAGCGGAGAAGTTATTCAGAGGTAAAAGGCATCAGGGACAAAGAGGAGAAATAGTGCACGCAGCATCCAACAATGTGGGGCCTGAGAGTATTCATTACCAAATAACTGAGGCTTGGCATCATAAGGATTCAGCTGGTGAGGAAATGAAACCTCTCCTACCTAGCTGGTCTTTGTAGACCAAATACCAATGGGTTTCAAGGAGAAATCAATAAATTCCTCTTAACAGGCTGTATTTACTGATGTTTCAGCTGATAAGCAGAGAAGATTCTTCCTACTGGTTAGTCATTTGCTGTGTTCCTTAACCAGTGACCTGTAAACTCCATATAGTTTTCTTTAAACAAATACTAAAATAACACTAAAAGGACATAGTACCACTGTATATTGATGCTACTTTGAAATAGCTGCTTCTGTTTGCATCTGTTTAACATTAGCAGAGTGTACACTACTGTATAGTAATTATTAGCTTCGTTATCTTGTAATAAGGGATGCCTCTGAAGAAACTTTGGTGAGCTGTACATGGGGTAAAAATTTCACATGGAGGAAAGTGCAATATGTGTGTGGTACATTCTTTTATTTTTCTTTTCTTTTAGATCATGGGGATTAGTCTTTTGCTTTGGGAAAAATGGCACCACTACTGTGAGTTCCAGTTCGGTGCATTTATCTTTAGTATTTACATGCAACTGATATGCTGGACCCTGTGAAGTAGTGTATTTCTAAAAAATAGAGGACGGATCTTCTACTTTTAAATCAGTGGTGGCTAAGCTGCACACCAGCAGGCCCAGTCTCAGCACCAGCTCTCTCCCCTCCTTTCAAGCATTATTTTCCCACCATTTATGACATAAGGGGATGATGGACAAAGGACAAAATGGGTGTCTGCCTTGGTAGCCCTCCATTATCCAAGAGACAGAAAACACTTGGACCACCACCAAGGAGAGACATGACTCAGGGACTGAGCCCATCCTAGCATAGACTGTTTTTCACCCTGGACCTCTGCCTCATACCTTACTCCCAACTTGACGGGGATGAGGGAGGAGAGAATTTGATACCAGTCTGTTTGTGTACCATTTTCCCCTTGGAAACTGACAGAATCAGGGGAGGGTTGGAGATGGGGATGCTCCAAAATATTGTTTGGGGGAACTGGGAGGGCCCAAGGCTACAATTAAAACATGGACCTTTCCCCCTTATGTTTCCATTTTAGCTTCATGATTAAGGAGAGGTGGGTAACTCCCTTCATAAAATCAGTTGAGAAAGAGCACAGCCCAGCTGATTTTGAACAACCTACTGAGTATTGGTGAGAAGTAGTATATATAGACCCATTAGTTATAGTAATAATGACCTCAACAGAAATCACCATTTGGGATGAGGCAGTAACCCTCTTTTATGGTTGCTCAGAACCTATACTCGAAGTATTACCTTTGTACCACCGTTTGTGCTGCTGCTAATTACCTTAGGATCCTAAGATTTGGGGGGGGGGCACCAAAATGCAGCTCACCCCTAAACCTTTAAAGGAAAAATATTTGTATTACTAGAATTTGGGGTAGGGGGAGTGGTAGATTATACCCAGCAACTTCCAGTTTACTCCTGCTGCAATTGGTTAAACTCTTTTAGGTACAAGCTCATTGAAAGATCCCCCAGGTAGGTGTAGGATTATGGAAAATTTCATTTCCCTGATGCTATTGCCCTTAGACGTCATAAGACTGTCACAATCAAACCACCCACGTTTTAGGCTCCTAATGCTTTCTGTTTTGCTTGCCGCTCAGAAGTCAATATCAGACCATTCTACTTTAGCTCACTATTTAAAATAAGTTCATGCTCTGAATAACTTGCATTCCAAACCTAATGAGTCATTATCTTTTAAAAAGCAACACTGATGTAATTTACCAATATTGGTCTTACAAGCCTGGTACGATTTGGAAGGCTTAGTTCCCAATTTTGACCTTTCTTGTTTTCTGCTTCTCACTTAAATGGCAAAGATAGGGAAATGTTAGGATGGAATAATGCTGTCTACAGAATTTATTGCTCCCTCTCTACTTTGGGGACTTGCCAATCTGATTTCAGCAGACTAATTCAGAGGCAGATTATTATCCTTCTCTTCTGAAATGTTCAATGGTGTTAAACAGATGATCATCTCTGATGAATGAGCATCTAGCAAGACTTTAAGGGTTGATTCATATATTACATCATTAAGATTCTCTGCTTTGAGGGGCAGCTAGGTGGCACAGTGGATAAAGCTCTAGCCTTAGAGTCAGGAGGACCTGAGTTCAAATTTGGCCTCAGACACATGACACTTACTAGCTGTGCAACCCTGGGCAAGTCACTTAACCCTAATTGCCTCAACAAAAAAAAAAAAAGATTCCCTGCTTTGGCATATGTGATCTTGTCTGAAGTCAGAGCGATGGACCAAACCCTTCTAAACCCCTCCTAGTTGTAGGTACCATGATTCTACCCTCCTCTACACCATCATGTATTCCTGTTTTGCTACATTTTCTCCTAAGAGAATGGGAATACCTGAAACTTGACTGTTTTTAGAGTTTTTCTATCATAGCTTCAGAGATTTTTAACAGGAATTTTAAACCAGCTATCAAAGGTTTCAGACCCTCCCCACTACTGATGAGACCTTTTTAGAGATAAAAAAAAAATTTGCTTTGATTGGACAAAATTTGAAATTCTTTCAGGGGAAAAGGAGGATGATATTTCAAAACAAGTAGGAATACATGATATCATCCAGAAAATGATCCCAAACATAAGCAGTATTAAGTTGGCAAAGTCAATCAACTAGTTTGCCACTGACTGTATCTAAATAGTCTAATATCTAGATATGGTTTAGACCATATCTAAACTGAATGAGTTTTTACCTAGACTAAG